GGCTAAGTAAGTCCTTTTTGTTCATTAATTGTAAACCTCAAAAAGTCTAGCTTTGTAGTTGTATAGTGCTGACTAATTAACAGGAAACTGTTCATCTAGCCCTGAACCTGAGCAATACAGCAAAACTTTACCTCCTCCATGGTATGGGGGGGGGCGGAGTTGGGGGGGAGGAATTGGGATTGGTCATGTATCCCCCGATCCTTTACACACCATTCCAGGATGCTAGGCACGTTTGGAGGCCCTGTCATTGGAACTTTAGTCCTTAATTAGAATTGGAGGAAGTGCTTTTACTGCTTACAGAGACAAGATCATCAAGTTTGCTATTAAAAGGAATAATTGACCTTTATTCACTTTTGAAAATATGTGCATATTACCAGTGCTGATCCACATGTAATATTCTCTGCATTTTTGATGGTAATTACTGTGCTATATATTCACTTACTTTAATAACCAGGTTCAAATCTATTAAAACATATTTCTGTTTACAATACAGCATTGTGGCAATTAAACAGGAAAGCAATTTTATAGACATTGATTTTCACTCTAATGTAGTTGCTGGAAATGCTCATCAAATCCCAAGGGCTTTTTTGTTTTTTGCTTTTTTGGTCAGTGTTCATTTACAATAGACAGTTCACTTATCTCTGTTTAGGGCTGGTAGATATATTAGTTTCTGAGACCCATTGTTCATATTCATCAGCACATTCAAACTGGCTTAAATTTTTCTGCTATTGTTCTAGGTGATATTTTGTCTGCAGTCAAGGCAAGTGGAGTAATTTTTGGTAATATATGGCCATAGTACAACCAACAAGGCAGTGGCTGAGAGAGAGGTTTGCAACCCTGAAGCTGAGTACACCTGTTATTATTTATTCCTGATGGAATCCACACATATTTCAAACATGCATTTCTTTTTCTGCACATAGCTTTTGTATGGACAGGGGAGAGGAATATGCACTTTGATTGCTTATTATTTACAACAAAAAAGCCTGTTGATAGTTTAATGTCATGTGTTGATTTAATGGACAGTAAATCTAGTTTAATTAGTTCTGTACATATTGAGAAAGGTGGCTAGAGTGTTAATTTTTTAACTAATTTTACCAACAATCCCAAAACTAAGAAGAGCTTTTACTTTGGCAAGAATGTTCTTCCCTTGGCGGTTTTGGAGGGCAGATATAATAGAGTATCGTACTATAATAGAAAATACAGTTGCTCATATGATAAAATCAAAACCATCGAACATATGATTATAGAGTGCCATATATTCAACGAGTTGGGGGGCTAATTTAGTCTCCCTTTTACTTAAAGATACAGAATTGCACTAAATGTGGGAGCCCAGGTGTCATGGCTACTATCAGATACAAATGATTGTGTCACCATCTCAATGACAAAATTCATAGGCACAGTAATCAAATATAAGAGAAATAATACTGAATAAAGTCTTTTAAAAATTGGTTTTAATTTCTGCTTAAGGTGATAGCTGTGTGAACAGTACTAGAGAGATAGATGGATATAGAGTTTTTTAAATCTAAAATAATTTGTAGTATTTCCTCTCAAATTATGACAGGAATAATTAAACATTGAAATAGTTCTCATAATTTGTAGTATTTCCTCTCAAATTATGACAGGAATAATTAAACATTGAAATAGTTCTCCAAGGAAAGAGCTGGATCTGAAGCGGTTTGCCATTTCAGACTGCACCGCTTTTCCCTGCTTTTCCCCTGCCATTTTTCGCCCGCGCGGGCGATCTCTGGCTTTTTTTTTAATGTTCGCTTTATAGCGCTATAGCACTATAACAAAACACTCCAGGCATTCCAATGGGGTTGATATACTGCTGTTCCGCTATAGCGCTATAGTGCTATAAAGCGAACATTTAAAAAAAGCTGGAGATCACCCGCGCAGGCGAAAAACGGCGGGAAAAAGCGCATCGGAACCGGGAGAGGAAACTGAAGACTACTTGGAAGCGGTTGACAGGTAAAATGCTTCAGCCCCGTTTCCTAAACGGGACAGAAGCGTTTGTGTCTGAAATTACAAATATATTCCGGTAGGGAAGCGGTTCTAAAATGGTTCTGTCTGAAATGACAGACCAGAAACCGTTTGGGAACCGTTCCTCTTCCGGATTATATCGTCTGTCTGAAATTCCTCAAAGAATGGCTATACAGCACCTTGCTAGGCTTGCTGTGCCCTGTAATTTTGTACTTCTAATCTTTAACCTTTCTTGGCAGACCAAAATATATTTACCATATTTTATATTTATTAAGAATGAAATGTAGAGGCCTTTTTGTTGTGGAGTGATAAGGGGAAACACACAGGCTGTACATTTCCCTTTCCAACTTCACAACAGCATTGGCTAGAGACTGCTCTAGGTATGTTCTGTTGCTACTGCACCACTACAAAAGCTTCTCCATTCAAAGCAGTAACAAGAGCTGCCTGAAATAGTCTCCACTGCATTGTTTAGTGAAATATTCAGGATGCTGAAACTATCTCAAAAGGCTGGTTAGTAGTTGCCTGGCTGAAAGTCTTTTTATCCTTCAGATAATATTGAAGTCTTGTTTTGTTTTGTTTTTTCAAGTTACATTATTTTATGCCTGCTGGCTTTTTATCACAATGTTTTCTTTGTTTCCTCTTATTTACTGCACTTGTAAGAAGAATATTTTTCCATGGTTAGTGTTGCTATAAAAATGGCCAAAATATTATTCTCTCTGAAATATGGTTTTCAAGTTAATTTTATACAAAGGGGCGCAGCAGCAAAAAAAAAGTTACTGTAAATTAAAACCTCCCAAATTGGAAAATACTTACAAAGTGGACATTAGTATTGGATTTAGCTGCAGCTCTAGGTTTGTAGAAGAAGAAGAATTGTTTGATATTTCACAGAACGGTGGAAATCAAACACGATCTTTCATGGATATGTTATGTTTAGATTGATTCAGTCACTTATCAAAACTTGTGTCTGTGTGTGTGTTTAAAATGGGAGAACTGATGCTCAGACTTGTTCTGTACATTGTTGCTATGACTTTTTCATAGCTTTAAGTGCCAAATTTTAGCATTGTTGTTCTGTTTGCTGTCTTGTCAAAAGATGAATCATTTTAGCTTGTTTGTTATACATTTATCCCATCCCTCCTTCAGAGAACTCCGGGCTTTATAAATGCGGTATGTCAGATACAATTATGCATTTCTTTTCACTGGTTGACATTGCTTTCATTGGTCCTTTTTTTGGGGGGGGGGGAACACACCTGTCGTAAGAGAAGGCAAAATTCCTAACCCTGTTCTCCAGTGCCTATGGCACATACATCTCCCTAAAGCAGTATTACTTTCTCCATAACATGCAAGCTACACACGCCTCTTTCACATGCCCCTTGTGGTGGTTCTGTCAATTTTGGGTTTGCTCCATGGCCTGTAAATACAGACACACTAAGTGGTGTGGGTGCAGTGATGAGCTAGAGAAAAGCCTTCAGAGGGCCAAAGGGCACCAGAAAGAGGAAGTAAAGAGAGGGCATCTGGGAAAAAGTGGGTGAGGACTCCTGTTTGCCAGAAGAGGGAGCAAAACATGGTGGAAGATGAAAATAATAATGCATGCAATAGGTACATTAGCAGAATTTAGCTTCTGTTGCATTAAAATTAATTTGATTATATCTATAGTTACATATTTAATATTATTTGGAGTGGGGGAGGTGTGTAGGCCATGCGATAGACGTCTCTTGGTGAATGTTGGTTGCAAATGCATATTTTCAGTGAGCCTCAGAGTGAGTACCACTGCTCTAAAGTTTCTTGTATCTCCCAAAAACTTTTTCAACAAGACCTTCCTTTCATCTGACTGTGCTCACATATGCGCACATATGCTCAGAGCATGGGAGGGACTGGATAGTTGGGTTTGATGCTGGGAGAGAGGTATGTAGTAAGCAGTATGTAGTTGTCTGCCCCAGAATTTCTTCTGCCACCTTAAAGACTTCCAGTAGTGGCTAATGACAAACACACAAGTAGGAAAATTCCAAAACATCTACCTGCCTTCTGAGAAGCTAGGTACTTATTGCTGACTTAACAGTCTGAATTGTTTTTCTGTTTCTGTGTAAGAGAAGGAGAAGAAGAGTTGGATTAATACCCGGTCCTTCACTCAGGGTTTCAGAGCAATTTGCAATCTGCTTCCATTCCTCACCCCACAACAGACACTCTGTTGAGGTAGGTGGGGCTGAGAGAGCTCTGAGACAACTGCTCTTGAGAGAACAGCTCTGAGAGAACTGTGACTGACCTAAGGTCACCCAGCTCACTGCATGTGGAGGAGTGGGGAATTAAACCCAGATTCTTCAGATTAGAGTTCACCACTCTTAACTTCTACACCAAACTGGGTCTTAACCACTACACCAAGCAGAGTGCTGCTTACATGTTTTGAATTGGTAGTGAAAAGTGCTGTCAAGTTGCAGCTGACTATTGGTGGTAGGGTTTTCAGGGCAAGAGATGAACAGAGGTGGTTTGCCATTACCTGCCTCTGCATAGCAACCCTGGGCCTTGTTGATGATCTCCCTTCCAAGTACTAACCAGGACCGATGCTGCTTAACTTCTGATATCTGACAAGATCAGTCCAGTCTGGGCCATCCAATTCAGGACTGAGTCTTTAGAGACCTATAAACAGGGGGAAAGCTGATATACACAGCCAGTCTACGAGGTTGGATCTGTAAATTACTTCAAGTGACCATATGAAGTGGCTGTTCATGTTGTAAATTTACCATATAGCTGCTCAGACAGAAGATAGCAAAATGCATAATTGAGTGGCTTAATGTTTCTCAGAAAAACGATGGAGTCTGGATAATCATGTGTCTTATATTGCAATGATGAGTCATTATACTAAATCCCTTTTAGATGACCAATCATGTTAATCAAGCCTTCAGATAGGTATCTAAATGCACAAGATACACCACCCCATCTCTTTCCCGGTTATCTAATGTATAAAGAGAAAGATCACTCACCAGTAAATGTACATATTTGACTTTTTGGGTACTCTTTTTATATAGATCTTGAAAAGTGTGCCAACTCTTTGGAGGCAACCTACATGACACTACATCATGAGCGAGAGTAAATGTGATAGTCAATTTTACAGCGTTCAGGTTGCAGACTCCACATTCACTGTACTTAAACGATACCAGCAATTGAAGCCGATTGGCTCTGGGGCTCAAGGCATTGTATGGTGAGTACTTTTAATCCAAAATAGAGCTAAAACATAATTTGTAGAAGTATTTTACTACAATTGATGCTTTAATTTATATTTGGTTGGATAATTTTTTAAAAATCTTTTCAAAGTGTTCTTCTGTTAAGACTACCCATAGGTGTGTTGACTCATCTGCATAGGATGGCGTCACCAGAAGCAAGGAGCAGTTTGTCCCTGAGGAGTGGTCAAGTGACTGTTTTTGCCTTTTTCCTCCCTGTTTCCCCCCAGTGACATCATCTCCCACAAGATGCTTTTCCAACCCTTTAAAGCCCAAGGAGGCTATCCAGATAACCACAGGTTTCTGTTTTCCAGTCAGGGGAACACAGTGTTATGATGGCTGTGCATATGTGTTCTTTGTAAGTCTGGAAGAAGACAGAGAGTGCGTGTGCACAGCAGCCATAGTACATCACTGTCTTACCTCAGCCAAAAACTGCAGTGCTATTTTTTCCTGCTTGTGACTTTAGAGCTGATGCAGGCATCTGGTCTAATGAGCAAGGGATGGGATGTGTACGAGTTGGAGAGTTGGTGTCAGGCAACAAAGGAGAAGAAATCCATATAAAGGTGGGAAAGAAACAGGGAAAAGAGAAACAGGGGATTAACAGTCCTCTGAACATTTATTTGTTAGGCTATTTATCTTGTTCTGCCTGCAAAAACAGGAACAAAGAGTGCTATAGCATATATACTTGCAAGCCTTTCAGTGCATGGTCCTCATTTTAAAGGGCTGGAATTAGTGTGCGTCTGTCTTTCCATTTCAGTGCTGCATTTGACACAGTCCTTGGAATCAATGTTGCTGTAAAGAAGTTGAGTCGTCCCTTTCAGAACCAAACACATGCAAAACGAGCTTATAGGGAACTTGTGCTTCTAAAGTGTGTCAATCACAAAAATGTGAGTAATTTTAATTGAACATACATTAAAACTAAATAAATGTAAAACAGTAATTCAATGGGTGTTGTAATTGAAGCATCTATATAACAGGCATGTGTTAATATGTCTTAAGCATTTGAAATTACAATAATTTAGAACAAAGTTTGAGTCCAGTGGCACCATTAAGACCAACCAAGTTTTATTCTGGGTATAAGCTTTCATGGACATGCACACTGAATTTCTAGCTTTGTTATATACTTTTATGTTTATTTATTTATTATTTGTATTTACATCCTGTCTATCCCGCAAACGGGTTCAGGGTGGGTAACATCATATTATAATAAATACAATTAAAATTTAACACAGTATAAACATTACAGCTTAAGACAAAAATCAGCTGGCTATAAAAGATTTTGGCCCATTGGTACAGATGGAATAAAGGCCAGTTATCAGTGGGTGGGTGGATGACAGCAACCTCAGGGAGGCCATATATGGGTGCCCGCTGCCTCAGCCAAAGACCTGGTGGAAGAGCTCCATCTTGAAGAATTGAAGAAGATCCCGCAGGGCCCTGATCGCAGTAGGGAGCATGTTCCAGCAGGCTGGGGCCAGGACAGAGAAATTCCTGGCCCTGGACGAGGCAAGACGGGCGTCCCTCAGGCCAGGGACCACCAGGAGGTGTTGGTATTTAGAGTGTAATGCTCTTCGAGGCATATATGGGAAGAGGCGGTCCCTTAGATATGTTGGTCCCAGGCCATATAAGGCTTTGAAGGTCATTACCAGCGCCTTGAAGTGAATCCAGTACTCAACTGGTAACCAATACTGTTGGCAGAGCAGATGCCAAATGTGAGCCTGCACAGGCATCAGCAGGTGTGCCACTGCATTCTGCACCAGTTGTAATTTCCAGGTCAGCCTCAAGGTTAAGCCTGCATAGAGCGAATTGCAGTAATTAAGTTTGGAAGTGACCGTTGCATGGGTTACTGTAGCTAAGTCTTGGGGGAGAGATAGGGCTTCAGTAATCTAATCTACCTAAGGTGGACAAATGCAGATTTGGCAACTGCAGTGACCTGGGCCTCCATAGAAAGAGAGGCATCCAGTGTCACTCCTAGGCTCTTCGCTGTCTGGGCCAGCACCAAAGGCACCCCTTCCAGTGTGAGGAGTCTGGTGCCCACATACATCCCCCCCAACCCAGGTACAGGACTTCCGTCTTCGATGGATTTAACTTCAGCCGACTCTGCCGTAACCATCTAGCCACAGTGTCTAAAGCCTCAGCCAGATTTTCAGGGACGGAAGACAGATGGCCATCCATTAACAGATAGAACTGGGTGTCATCAGCATACTGATGACAACCCAGCCCATAGCTCTGGACTAACTGGGCGAGGGGGCGCATATAGATGTTAAATAACATTGGCAAGAGGGTCGCCCACTGTGGCACTCCACATTCCAGTGGGTATCACGGGGAGACCCTCTCGCCAAGCGCCACTCTCTGTCCCCAACCACGGAGAAAGGAGGAAAACCATTTTAAGGCAGTCCCCTGAACTCCTATGTTGTCAAGGCAGTGGGTCAACAGATCTACAGAGGTCATCTGTAAGGGCGACCAGAGCCATCTCTGTCCCATGACCAGGGCAGAAGCCAGACTGGAAAGAATCAAGGATGGAAGCGTCATCCAGGAAAACCCTGAGTTTTCAACCACCTTACCCAAAAACGATAAGTTTGATACTAGGCGGTAGTTGGTTAGGACCATGGAGTCCAGTGATGGCTTTTTTGAGAACACCTCCTTCAAAGCCTCCGGGAAAGTCCCAGTAGAAAGGGGCAAGTTGATGATTTCTCCCAGAGGGCCTGAATGTTCTCCCCACAGGCTTTCACAAGCCAGGAAGGGCATTAGTCAAGGAGGGAGGTAGTAGGCCTCACTGCTGCCAGGATCCTGTTGACTTCCTCCCAGGAGAGTCAATTGAAGTGATCCAGTATCGGACCAGAAGATGGACAAGGGACTATCAGTTCTCTTACTGTCTCAATTGTGGTCAGGATCTCCTGGTCAAGTGTCATAATCTTATCTGCGAAATATCTTGCAAATGCTTCACAGCCAGTAGTCAGTTCCCTACTATTTGGTCTGCCTTGTGGTAGTCATAATGGACCGAATAATTCTAAATAATTGGGCCATGCGTGAGCTCACAGACGCAATTGAGGTCTCATACACAGATGCAATGGAGGCCTCATAGAAATCTTTCTGGCCTTCACAGCCATCTCATAGACTTTCATAAGCATCCTGTAAGATATTCGTGACACTTCGTCACAAACACGCCACCACCTCCACTCTAGCCACATTAGCTCTTGTTTTATCCTCCGCACCTCTGAGGTGTACCAAGGGGCTGCTTTGGTGCGGGGCTGCAGAGTCCTCCACCATCCAACGAGCTGCCAGGGGGCATTGGCTCCCGCAGAGCTTCCTGAAGCCGACTAGAGTCCATTTGACTCCGCGGGCGAGCATAAATGCACTCGCTGCCTAAACAGGGGAGGTGTGGAATGCTCAGCTGGACCTTCATGGCGAAGTGGTCAGACCATGGGACTACATCCATAGTCATCAGATCCACATGTATCCCCATCCCAAAAATCAAATCCAGTGTGTGGCCCACTTGGTGTGTGGGAGTTGATACAAACTGGGAGAGTCCAAGTGCGTCCATGGATGACACAAGGTCCTCGGTCTGGGAGGACACTGCATCATCAGCACGGACATTGAAGTCACCCAGGACCAGAAGCCTGGGATATTCCAATGCCCAACCTGATACAGCGTCTAGCAGGTCAGACAGGGTATCTGTTGGTGCATTAGGCAGTCTGTACTCCAGTCAGATAGCCAAACTCTCCTCGACATCACACGCTAGGCCTACACATTCAATGCTGGAGATTGTTGGGGTGGGGAGCGACCTGAAGGAACAAAATTCACAGATAAGCAAGGCCACATCCTCCCCTGCCCATATGTCCAAGACTGAGAACCCAGGTGGGGTAAGCTGGTTTAAGGCGACAGTTTCACCGTCCCTCACCCAGGTCTTGGTCACACAGGCCAGGTCTGCCTATGACTCCATGAAATAATCACAGAGCACATCGGTCTTATTATTGATAGACCTGGCATTAACTAACACCAGTTTTGGAGGAGGGTAGGATTTCCTAGCCCCACAACCAGCATCTCTCGGGATGGGACGTAGGTGGGAAGAAGTCCAAGCATTCCCATATCTCTGACTTCTTCCATTCCAATTAGAGGAGTAGCACCTACGCCCACTGCTATATCTCCCCCACCCCTTAATCACTGGTATCCCTGACCCTTGCATGGCCCCCCATCATCGGTGCTGTCAACCCCAATTCACACTTTCCAACAGCTAGCAACTAAAATTCACACTTTTCACACTTTCCAACAGCCAGTTCTAAAATCCACACAGCTTGTCTCAGATTCTCTATCTGACTAAATAACCCATTCACCTCTCTGACTATCTGATTAACCCACCCTGTTACAGCAAGTAACCCATTTGGATGGATTAATTAACATACAATCAATATAATCCGTTCCAATATTTCACTCTAATTTGATTAATAGACTAATAATCTCAATTTAATCAGTGGGGAAAATTAGGTTGGGGAAATTTTCATATAAATTAATTCATTACCCTTCCTCTAACCTCCCCACCCCCATCGTATAAAATTATCTAATAATTTATTAATTATTAAAAAGCATACTATAAAATAAATGTGAGATATTTTAGCTGGTCCCTACCTTAAATATAATCCATAGATTACTGTTGCCTTGTGAGAGCCCCTAAAAATGATTCTGTTATCCAGCTTCACTTCAGTTGGCTGTGTCGCAAAGGTTCTCCTGTTTCTTCATGGGAACTTATTAAACATTGCTAAAATAATATGTTCTCAAATTCCAGAGAGAAAGTCTGTTGCTTGAAAATAAAAATTTGTCTTATGGCATCTTTATAGACTGACATACTTATTGTGGTATAAGCCTTTGTAGACTGGAAAATTCTGTTTTGTGTGTGTACAGTTGTACATAGCACAAGATAGCATTCTGGTCTAAGGTAATGCTACTTCCCTGGACTCCAAGATGGTAGCAAGAGATTCCCAGTCTTGAGGTCTAAGGTAGTGCTACTATGGCCCCGGTCACACGGGCCGGATATCGCGGGGGGAGGCGTGGCTAATTGCCCCGGCGCAGTTTGATTCGCAATTACGCGATCAAACGTGCCGGCGGCACACCACGAGCCCTTCCCTCGGCGCCAGCAGGTAAACGAGGGACCAGAGGGGAATGCTGCGCGCCGGCGCGATCACACCACTGGCATCTGGAGGCAGCCCATGGCAAACGTTTACTAGTACCTTGGAGGTACTAGTTTTTTAAGGCGCATTGTCGGCGGTAAGCCACGGGTGCGCTCCACTTCCCAGATGTTTGGGTGTGATCGTGCCCAGATAATCCGCCCACCATCCGTGCCTCTCCCGTGGCAACTTTGCCGTGTGACCGGGGCCTATGTATTTTATTTTGGCACACAATGGTGTCCAGAAAATGAACCTGGTTTAGACTAGTCTGGGCTTGAATTGGTGTTAGACGGAAGTTATTGAACTGCTGGTGGAATCTCTCTAGTGCATTCTTCTTACGTTTGTGGGTGATGAAGATGTATGTTTCAAGTGAAGACATTTGGGGACATGGACTGAGGAAACACTGATCTCTGTCAGCTATATATTTCAGTTAAGACTACTGCCAGGTGTTGAAAGTCACCACTTGGTGGAAGCTTCCATACACTACCAATACAAGACTGAGCTGGATCACAGGGAAGTGTTTATCACTGACTTCCATGCCTGAGTTTAACACATGAATTAGGCCTTAATGAATTTGGATCACTGGAACATATGATAGCACTTGTGTATAAATCATGCACCAAAAGTCACAGTGTTTCTAGAAATAGACCATGTCCCAGATAGAATCACAGTGCAGAAAATCTAGTAACTTGTACAAAATCTAATTTCATACATCAATGTGACAAGTTGATATACTGAAGTAATTAAACTTAATTAACTTCAGGAAGGAAACTGGTTTTATTGGCTTTCAGTTTTCAGTATATAATAAAACTAATCTGAAAACTGCTAAAGAGCAGTTTTGGTTATACTCTAACTGTTCTTCAATGGAGTAAAGAAAGTATATTCTTTTTCCCCCAATAGAGCAACATAAACTACAACTTTCTCATACGTTGTAATTGAATTTCCAGTATAGCAGTAACAAGCTAAGTATCAACAGGACAATAATAATTGCAGTATAGAAAATCTGTTAGCCGTTGCTTTATCGTTATGCTTACTTTAATAACTGGAGGAGGGAGGGCTAGGATTTTTTCAGATGGGTTAGTTTTGTGTCTGCCTTCACAAATACAGATGCTCAAATCTTGGACAGTGCCTGCAGAAGATGCTATCTGAGACCTTCCCTCAGGCCCTTTATTCCCAGTTTGTTCCTAGACTGGAGGGATTTGCCTGTGCTAACAGTTGCGTGGGTTGGGCTGCTGCAGTAGGGTGGGGGAAGGGGATGAGATAGGTCTTCCTCTTGACTAAGCAGAATTCTGTTCACAGAAGGGAAGGGAAGGGAAGGAGCAACTTCACCCCCTTCCCCCTCTTCACTGCAGCAGCCTGACCCACCCGGACCCTGATTAGGTAGAAAGTTGCCATAAAAATGTTTAAAATAAATATTAAGACAAGCAAATCCCTCCAGCCTGGGAATTCATTTCCTTGGGGTTGGAAAGGTCTCTGTGGGGAGGGATCCTTATGGTGTCCAACCCATGTAGTATAAAAAGTTTGCCAGTGCCATCACTTAACAGCCTTCAGCTAACTTTTCCTCGATTGGAGGGATTGTAGGCTTCTCCCACATACTTACAACCAGTATTCAATTCATTTCAACATGTTTATCCTTTAGGACCTGGAGAATTTTAGTCCAAAATATTCATATTTAAGGACTGCCCCAGTAAACATGAAAACTTGTCTGTTTCATTTATATGCCTTCAGCATTTCTTTGACTCTTCATAGAATCATAGAGTTTAAAGGGAACCCTAGGGTCATCTAGTCCAACCCCCTGTGCAGTGCAGGAAATTCACAACTACCTCCCCCCACAGCCCCAGTGACCCTTGCTCCATGTCCAGACGATGGCAAAAAAAAAAGATCTCCAGGATCCCTTGCCTGGAGAGAATTGCTTCCTGACTCCAAAGTGGTGATCAACATTTCCCTGGGCATGTAAGGGCCATGAGAACTAAGCACTGATGCAACCCTTCCTGCCCTCCCTCTCATGATCTGCCTAAGTTCACAGAATCAGCATTGCTGTCAGATGGCCATCTAGCCTCTGTTTAAAAACATCCAGTGAAGGAGAGCCCACCACCTCCCGAGGAAGCCTGTTCCACTGAGGAACCACTCTAACCATTAGGAAGTTCGTCCTAATGTTTAGCCGAAAACTCTTCCAAGTTAATTTCATCCCGTTGGTTCTGGTCCGATCTTGTTTTATATAAACTGCTCAGTTTGACATCTAACAATGTTTTTTGTTTCACGAAAGACCAGCAGCGTATATTTTTATCCATATGAAAAAAATACTACAATATTTAGCTTGGTGCCCATGGAGGATTTTTGCAGATCGTTTGGCAATTTTTACCAATTCCACCAGCTCACTGCAGACCTCGCGCCCCCCGCTGTTCTTGTGATCTCCTTAGATTATTTGTGCATTGTATATCATACAAAATGGGCTTGCTACCTAGATAAAGTAATAGTTTTTGCATATTCAGGGGACTCTGAGAAATTTAAAAAGTTGATTTGTAAACAACAACTACACCACCCACCCACCCAAACTGTCCCAGTGAGGAAAGAGCATGCTGATTGCTTTCAGAATATTGAACAAAGGTGAGAATCAGTATGGGTACTTACTTCCCATGTGAGTTAGGACTTCGTATGATCTCTGTGTTAGATTACTGGAATAACACTAATGTACTTCTTAATGAAAGAATGAGCCTTGTACCAAAACTCTTATATCATTTCACTGATAATGAAGTTGTGAATTTTTGATAAATAATTCTAATCTATTTATCTCAGAATGTAAATGCAATCCTGTGCAACATTACTCTTACCTCAGCCTGTTGATCTCATTGGACTTAGACTGGAATAACTCTGCCTAGGTTTGCATTGGAAATCTGCCTTTGTTGCAATACTCACCTCTACAGTAATAGATAACAAGTAACACCATGCAAAAACTGCATATTTGGGATAGTAAATTTGTTCTAAAATATTTAAAATCACTATTTTTTGCTGTTGTTGAAACTGCTGGTATACTGAAGGTACAAAGTCAGTAAACAGAGCCTTGTGTACTTTCTAGCAATGTAACACTGTTCGTTTCTGCATGGTGATGATCATAATTTGTTTTATTTCTCGTTTGACATGATTTGTTCTACTTCTGGTTTTACAGATAATTAGTTTGTTAAATGTATTCACACCACAGAAGTCGCTAGAAGAATTTCAAGATGTGTAAGTTTTTGCTTATTGCATTTTCTTGATAACTACCCATTTCAGGTTTTAGGACCAAATTGTTTTTATGCTGTGCACAACAACAAAATGAGAATTAGTCTTCAATATGTAGGACATCTCATTTTTACTCCATCTCATTTCCCCACTATTTCTTCTTTTCCTTCCCTTCAGAGCTGCCATAGCCTCTGCCTTTTCCCCACTTTTTCGTTTCTTCCCGCTAGCCAGCCTATGTTTGTCTGCTCCCCTGTCTTTAGCTTTCCCTCCTTCCCTATCCAAGGCAGTATCTGCCTGGGAAAAGTCTTGCTCTAGTTGTGCAGCGGTTGTCGGGCTGGGTCCAGTCGCACAGTGGCCTCTGTGCCTGTCCCCAGTGAGTCCTTCTCCATCAAGGAACATGATGTGATGGGGGTGGGGCCCTTTACAGGGCTGTTTTGGCCTCCTGGTCCACCCCTGCTCTCCACACTTTGCTTTACAGAAACTAAGTTTTGGAAGACTCAGCAATATTGTGGTTGCCCTGGCAACTGCCAAAATTGTGACTGATAACTTAGTGGGCATTTTTCTGCAAATGTGGAAATTCTTCAAGGTTTGTAGAGAAATCTCCCCATCTGTCCCTAGCTCCATATTGTGGATTTATTAATCCATACTCTAAGTCTTGGTTTGGAATTAGATATAAGATATAGCACATAATCCACATGAAAAATGTCAGAAACAAGACTTCTTTCTCTTAAACTTTTAAAATGTTGGACTTACTGCCCACATGACTTATTTTTTAATTTGTGGTTTTCCCTTTTCCAAAAGAGCAATTGAATCAATAACAAAAAACAGATAAATGTTTTAGATTTTATGTAAACCAGCCTTTTAAAGTCAGTGAGAATTATGCTGGTTGACATCAGTGGGAGGTGCTTGATCACATTATGTATTGAATATAGGTCTCTTATACATTGGTAAACAGTGTGTTAATGGAACGTGCTAATCTTGCAGATCTTTAAAGCTATGAATAGATGAATGTCAGAGCTGTAAATTAATTGTTTTAATGGAGCTTTTACGTAAAAATGAAATGTATGGTCAGTGAATCACAACAGTGAATACACGAACAAATGAATCTGCTTTCCCATAATCTGTGTCTGTGAATAAGGGAAGACTGTGAGAGCACTCCTAAGCATCTCTATTCAAAATCCTACTTAGGTCTATTCAGTGGGGCTTACTCCCAGGAAAGTGTTTTTAGGATTACACTCCGTGTAATCTACTTGTATTCAGAGGTATGTTGTAGCTCTAATTCAAATTCTGAAAAATGTTTTCTTGTGTTCTGAAGAAGAAGTTCTAAAGTTTTAAAGTTCTAAAGTTTTTTCCTTTAATTATGGTAATTCATTTAACACTGTAGACGTTCATTGGAATTATTTACTTTGCAAGCTAGTTGTATATAACTTACATTAATTGCACAGAAGAAAACATTCCTTGTGGATTTTACTCTTGAGCGTTTATGAGAATCACAACACAGATGAAAATAGATTTTTAAAAAATGTTTCAGGTATTTGGTTATGGAACTGATGGATGCTAACTTGTGCCAAGTTATTCATATGGAGCTGGATCATGAACGAATGTCCTACCTTCTGTACCAGATGTTATGTGGAATCAAGCATCTTCATTCGGCTGGTATCATCCACAGAGTAGGTAGTATTATAAAAATCACACTTAATTAACAGTGAAGAAGTTTGTCCTTTTACTACTTTGTTTGTTCATAATCTGTTATATGTGAAACCTAGTGTTGATGATAAAATAACAGTCACGAATTGCCTTAGCAGTTCAGGCAAAAGGCGCTGTCTCCAACATTCGCCAGTCAGATAATCTAAGTAATCTTGGCAGCATAACTCTGATGCTATTCCATCCTGTTTGTTACCATTCTTTAGTACCAATCTCTATCATTACCAAACATATGTTCTTTCCGTGGTGACTGAGGAATCTTTCATCTGGGTAATGAGAGGTGAAGAAGAAATTAAGCGTACAGGTTATAACAATAAATAGCATCTCTTTATTTTAGTGCACCCCCAATATTTGCCCCCATGTGGAATTACTATTCAGAAGGGGCAGTAATGAGTAGTGCCCGGTTGTTTTTCTTGATCCCAGTCTGCTACTTATTTTTAGTCATTTGCCTGCTTCTGCAGGGTGTGTGGCAGTAGCTGGTAGGTGAGTTGCAGCAAACTTGTTACTAAGATAGTGTTCTGCTGCTCCTGAACTTTTAAGGATAAGTAACATGATAGCCACAAGAGCATAATGAAATTCTTTGCAGCCCAGGGCTCTGTATTGCTGGCAGCTGTCACTATCATCAAGGGTCCTAGGCCTGGAAAACATTGCAGCACTGTTAAGATGTTATTTACTGTATTTCTATCCCCACCTTTCTCCCCAGTGGAGACTCAAAGCAGCTTACATCATTCTCCTCTTTTCCGTTTTATCCTCACAGCAACCCTGTGAGGTAGGTTAGACTGAGAGTGTATGACTGGCCCAAATTTCCATGGCGGAGTGGGGATTTGAACCTGGGTTTCCCAGATCCTAATCTGACATTTTAACCACTATACCACACTGGCTTGTTGAGATATGATAAAAGTTCTTTGAGCTAAATGTTGTGATAGAGGATGATGGCAAATTTGAGGGAAGCACAAAAAAAGGACAGGTAGAAAGTGGGGCTGAGGTCTTAAAAACCAGTTTCCAAAGTTGCTCTGTTTTTTCATTTTATTTATTTATTTAAACATTTATATCCCACCTTTCCTCTTAGTTCAAGTGGCTTGCAATAAGAATTAAAACATCCCCAGCTAAAACCGAAGGTTAAATAACAAGCCCCCAATCCCTGCCTCCTTAAAAAGACGCCCGCTATTCAAATCCCCTCAGATGCTCTGACAAACAGGCAGGCCTTGCAGTGCCTCCTCAATATCTTCAAGAAGGGAGTCCCTCTCACCTCTTCAGGGAGCCCATTCTCTGGAGCTGGAGTTACAATGGAAAAAGCCTGGGCTCTGGTTGATGTCAGACAGGCCACCCTAGGTTGTAGAATACCAACAGATGGCTGCCTCATGACCATAGTTGGCACATGGAGACATACGTGGGTCCTAGGTCATGAAGGGCTTTAAAGGTCATAACCAGCACCTTGAATTGAACTCAGAAACCGACTGGCAGCCAGTGAAGCTGTTTCAAAGTAGGCAATGTATGTTCCTGGCAGCTAGCCCCTGACAGCAGTTGGGCTGCCACATTCTGGACCAGTTGTAATTTCCAGGTTGTCTTCAAGGGCATCCCCATGTACAGCACATTGCGATAATCCATCTAGGAGATTTGTTTGTTTGTTTGTTTTGATTTGATTTGGATCCCACCCTTCCTGCATAGCAGGCTCAGGGTAGCTTCCATCACATACAAAAAATATGTACAAATTAAAACAGTTACACCTCCAATAAAATACAATAATAATCCTATCATACAGATCAAGCCTATTAAGAATTGAAGTGGATATTGTCATATTTCTGATGATATCAGAAATGCAAGGGAGTTTGAATCCTCCCCTCAGATCCCCTCCTTATCTGGGTGGAAACTGTGCCCTGGTACTGGAGGAAGGAAGGGTTCTCTGCATCTCTTCCACTCCCAACTCCAAGAACACAGCTATGCCAGATCTGAACGAGGAGGAGACCTCTTTTTCTCTTTCTTTCCTACTATTTCTTGAGTGACCAGATTTGCCAAGCAGTATCAGTCTAAGTAGGAAGTAGCTGAGTGGGAAAAGTTGTTCCCCAGTTGTCATTAAAGAGAATAATAGGCAGTCTGGTATGGGAGCTAGCATGCTTGACTAAGGTAAGGATGAACTGTTACCCTATAACATTATTTTGACAATAGTAGAGGATAAAAATGCAAGATGGACAGAATCCAGTGCTCATTCCATTTATTTAAAATGTTTCTCCTACCTTATGTCCTAGGACTCAAGGCAGCTAATAGAGCAGCAGCAACAAGAAAACATGTAAAACACCATATAACAGTCAGGAACATAAAAAGAGCATTCAAGATAAAATAGTTCAGCCAGATCTGCCAAAACAATTTACCGTCTACAAAATGCCCTTTAAAAGAAGCCGGCTCTGGGTGTAGAACATGAAGATGTCCCCTGCAGTCACTCTAGTAAGCCATTCCAAAGGACTGGTCTTGCCACAGGAAAAGTCTGCAATGACTGTTGTCTGAGAGAAGGCACCAGAAGGACAAGGCTGCCTGAAGAGCACAGCTGGTTTGCAGGAGTATGCTGACAGATATTGCTCAATGTCTATAAGAACTCTGAGCTAATAACCAACATTTAGAATTGGGCTCAGAAGAAAATAGGTAACCAGTGCAGTTGACACAGTGCTGTTCCAAGTGTCCAACCACGGGTACCCAGATACCTCCCAGATACCTTCAAATATAGCCCTGCGTAGTCCGGTGTGGAAGTTATTGGCATAGCTGTGTCAACACTGTGAATAAAGGGGCTGGCATACAAACTAGGTGTAATCAAAAGAAGGTACTCCTAGCAACAGTACCAAGCTGTTTATCCATAAACCTGGCTTGGTCCAAGAGCACTCCCAAGCTTCTAACCTCATCTAAGGCTGGTAAATCAGTACCAGCCAAACCCTTTGCCTTCCCAGCCAGCATCACCTCAGACTTGTCTGGATTAAGTTACAGTTTGTTTGCCCTCAGCCATTTGATCACACACTCAAGGCACTGGCCCTGGACCTGGATCATCACAGCTACTCTGAGCTTAAATAATGAAATGTAAAGCTGAGTATCATCCACTCATTGAGAACTACCCAATCCAAAGCTTTTGATGATCTTGGCCAAAGATTAAAGAGCGCTGGGGAATAAAATGGAATTGTGCATCAGCAGGTCCCAACTAGCTAACTCTGCATCTCCTACGGGATTTTTTATTATTTTTTTTGCTGGCAGGAAACAAAAACAATGGAGGGTGTCTCTTTTATCGCAAACATTTATCATAGTCCGCTCACTAAAATAATGCAGTTGACTATAACAAGTGCTGCTGATACAGATAATGGTTGTATTAACAATGATAGATTGCCCTTATCCATTTGTAGCTGAAGATCATCAACTAAGACCAATAGTGCTGTTTCAGTCCCAAATCCAATCTGAAGCCAGACAGACCCAGGGTCAGGGGCGAATGGTTCATCCAGAAGTGCCTGCAGTTGCTGTGCCACAACCTGCTGCACCACTTGCCCAAACAGGAGATTTATCCAAAAATGATTTTGTAAAGAAAGAGTAATCACAGCTTCTTTTAGCTGTGAAGGAAACACCCTGTGTAAGCGGGACATATTAATGATCTCACCAAAGGAGATACCATTTCCTTCTGACTTTTTTATTTAATAGCTAGGATAGCCAAGGATGGACAGGAAAACCTTTCTACAAGCCTAAGACATCATTCAGGGAGACCAGCTTGAAATTGTCCATAGGATTCTATCAAGAGTTTGCCTATAGGACCTACTTCAAACTGGCATCTAAGTCGAATTGTATGAGAGAGAGAGTTCATCAGCAAAAATGGTCACAGCTAATTCGAAATCAAAATTAATGAGAAGTTACTGAGGCTCATTTTGCAAATCAGTGACTATATAAACTTTAGCGAACTTGGTATTCCCACTCAAAAGTAGATGGATTTACTCAGTATCAGTCTTATCACCCGCAGGAGAGAAGGTAACAGATGTCACATGGGTGTGCCACAGATACCCAGAAAATGTGCTTTGGTCGGTTTCTAGACCTTATGCAGCTTGTCGACTATGATTGCAGAAATATGTAGATACTGTTCCCCAGAAAGGTCTGCTATTGGTTGATGGGTACAAAAATATTTAGCTGAACTACAAACCATCAATTTGCTTGGGAGTGTGTTAACAGTACATCTGATTTATTTTAAGTGCAAGCTTGGATATGTTTAATACAGTTACCAATCATGTTTCTACTTACGAATCACTCAAAGCAGTTTATAGAATAACCTGTGCTGATTTTGGGAGGTAACATTGTGTGTTGTTCTTTACATTAATTGGTACATTTTATTTTCTTAGGATTTAAAACCCAGCAATATAGTCGTAAAATCAGATTGTACTCTCAAAATCCTTGACTTTGGACTTGCAAGGACAGCATGTACTAATTTCATGATGACCCCATATGTAGTAACACGGTATTACAGAGCACCAGAGGTTATTCTTGGCATGGGATACAAAGAGAATGGTAAGTTACAGTCTCAAAATACCATAACTTTTATCTGTGGGTTACATGATCAATGTTTCTTTTCTGTTTTACCGTGGCAGAGTGCCAACTTTGGTAGGCTTACTATATTCCAGGGTGACTACCACTGTGAGATAATTGTCTGAAGTAATGTTGGTGGAATGGCAATCTGTAGAATCGGTTTTATTTTAGAACATGCATCCAGTGAGGTAAGACTGTAGGTAGTACTTGGTCACTGCTGCAAATCATTGACAAAGAAGTAGGAGGCCCTCATGCCTTTAGCAGTGGCTGTCAAGAGGTATCATTGAAGGCAGGGATGCTGATTGATAATTGAACAACTATGAGCTGCACAGTACTGACCATCTGCCTCTTGCATGTAATGCTGCCATTCAGTCTCTTCTGGTAAGAATGTGGAGGGTCTCCTTGCCCTCAGTGGATTCAGAAGAATACTGCTCACTGCCCCCATTGAATTTGTAGCTGTAGTAAAACCAGTCCTCCAGGTTGCCAGCCTGGTTTCATGATGACAAACTTTTTCACATAATTGTTATCATACAGTTACCCAAAGAATGAGGCTCGGAATAGAAATTCTTGTAAAACACAAATCCTGAAGGTTTATTGATGTTTTACCACAACACACAGAATGTGAAGCACGGTACCAATCTGAGTAAACCTATGCTATAGATACAGGTCCTAATCCAGAGAAAGTTACTGCAAAACTCCTATTGAAACCAACAGGATAAATTAATCCTGTCTAATTTAAAAGGCAATCCTAAATAAATCCCATTTTATTCAATGGGGCTTACTTCCAGGAAAGTGTCTTTAGGATTGTAGCCTTAGTCCCATTAATTTCAATAGGCCTTGTAAATATACTTTTGTTGGGATCGGGTCCATCGTTTATAGAAGTTTGTGTAATTTTATAGTGAAGTCTGTAGCAAATTTTTCATATAGATTGTTTATCCTGTGCAGCATTTTAATTTTTCAATGTGTGTTTACCATTTTAAAATGCATTTGTAAATCTCTAATTTCTGTCCCTATTACACTTAACATTGGATAGTGGATATCTGGTCTGTTGGGTGCATAATGGCCGAAATGGTTCTCCATAAGGTCCTGTTCCCAGGAAGAGATTGTATCCTTCATAGAGCTTTGTAGGATTAAGGAACATATTAACAATTGAAGAGCCTGTTTTAGGAGACTGTAGTATTTTTAACACTAATCTTTTGATATTCAGTAAAGATTACATGTTAATATTGTTTAAAAACACATATCAGCAGTTTCATTTTCTGCATTGCTGTGTCTTAATGTAAATGTGTTTTTTTGTTTCTCACTTTTCTTCATGACACTTCATAATTTTATCATCTCACTTTTACTTTCAGTTGATATCTGGTCAGTTGGTTGCATCATGGGAGAATTGGTGAAAGGTTGTGTGATATTCCAAGGCACTGATCGTATCCTTCCCTAGTAATCTTTGAATCCTAATTTCACATTCACCAAACAGCTATTTTACTTGATGATGTAAATGATGTTAATCCCCTGCCCACTACATAATACTTTTCTTTCCTGAATGGATCTTCCAATCATGTTTGAAATTTGTTATCTTAACCAAGCACTTCAACTTTTATTCTTGTCCTTGACAACATTTAACTTCACTTTTTGAAAATTAAGTGTTATTTTTAGGAACCAGCAGTTTGCGGTCTTAAAACTATGCTGCAAATTTCCTTAACTTAGTTGCCATGATTAGGTCACAGTTTAAACTGAAAATTCAACAAAATTTAATGCTCAAACTTTATACTATTTAACTTTTGTTGTTGTTGCATTTCTCTGCACAATGGAAATAAGCTCAAAACAATGGTTTTGTCTTATCAGTTCTTATTCAGTTTATCTTCAAGTGGCATGCAGGTTAGAAAAATATAATTCGCAGTGCTTGATTTCTTGAAATAATAATGGTTGATCACGTGTTAACCTAATAACACAATAAAACAAGCTTTATTTTCATTTTTCAATTTTCTCCCATATGTATTATTTTACCCTCAAATGCCTTATGACCAACCTAACACAATTCTTCATGTATGTGTGTCTCCACTTATTTGCATGCTGATGCTAATTTCCATATATACTGTTTTCATGCATGTGGTGTTTCTCATGTAAAAATCAAGGGATTTTTTCCCATGTTTAATACATTTTTATGCACTATATGAATTTTGCTTGTTTGAGTACCGTAAGTCTAATGACTGCTTCTTTCTTGCTTTACTCATTCAGTTGTGTTATTGAATAACAGATCTATGGAACTCCAGTGTCAGTCACATCTCTGTTATGAGGAAATAACTTACAGATTTCCACGCACATTATTAACCTTCATGAGAAGGTAAAACTGGTGTGTGACCTTTCTTGTTCATACATTGGCTTGGATCCTGCCTGCTGGGGAAATGCTGTTTCTGGGGGGAGGGAACATCCCAGGAATAGCTGGGTGGGAGGGAATCAGAGATCTCCTGCAGGAGAGGAGAATCAGCAAAAATGACTCCCCTCCCTTGCTCAGGAAAAAATTTCAGGTGCGATCCAACCCTTTGTATTTTCCCTGGCACTAGAATTCTTATTCTCTGTGATTTACCTCAAAACCATATTCTTCCCTTCCTGTGCAAGCATTTTGCTTTCAGTTTATTACTTGATTTTGAAAGCAAGAAGCAGCAGAGAGCTTTTATAGGTTTAAGAAAACATTTGGTGTAAGAAATGGTTCCTGTGGGTTTTTTGTTTATTTAATCTGAATGTGTTGTCAAACACTTTAGAGAATGTATACATATAGTAGTTTCTCCTACGTATTTCAGTGTATGTTCCACATACTGTTTAAGATGGCTTGTCAGTCCAAGGCATCAGTTAGTGGCTACCATGCAGTTCAGAGTTTTGGATTCAAAAGTGGTGAGCAGGTCATGGGAGCAACAACAGTTTTCATTTACCTTAAATCTCATTAGCTGCAGAGCAGGGTCTTCCAAACTTGTAGAAGTTCATAGTCACAAGAACTTCTCAGTGTTTTTTTCCTGAAAGCAGGATCAAACCGTATGTAGGGAATGGCTTCTGACAGCAGAAACTGAAAGCCTTTAAAAAAATTATAGCAATTCAAATTGTATAAGCTGATGTCCTTGAATAACAGGCTTCCTTCTGAATCTAGATTTGAAAAATTCTTCAGTAATATGTTTCTGTGCAGATACAAAGTTCTTGAAGGGGGTCGGACATTGTTTTCATGTGTGCTATTTGGCATATGCCCATTTTATTTTATGATTTGTTCTCATAGCTGAATGCATTTGATTAGTAAGCAGTCTTTATAATTCCTGGTTATATGGAAAAGTTGATCACAGCAATGTTTAAAAAGTTGTCAGTGACAGAGTGGAAACTAATTTCAGATTTCTTAAATAGGAAGTTCTAAGTGTATATAGTTCATTGTGGACTCTGTATAGTCCTAGATCTGCAAAACCTACAGCAGTACAGTAAATGCAACCAATTGGATGATGATGGTGCTCACATCTAATGTGATATAAATATCCTTGCTAAAATGTACAGTCAGTGGCCTTGCTGCTCAAGTTTTATGCACACACAATTAAAAGCATGTCTTTTTTACCCAATTTGACACAATTTAAATTACTTGTTAATTGGGCTAATACATGAGGAAGACTATTACAGACAGTTTGATTCGCTGATGTGACAGAAGACTTCACATTCTACGGATGGCTTAATAATTTGTATTTTAACATTCCTCTCTATGTGGGGTGCAGATTCCGGTTTTAGGTAGCCTCTGCCTGAATCATATGATGTTTATCCAAATAGATAAGGAGAATAAGTGTTTGGGTTGCCACAGGATCCTGATAGTACAGTGTGTATTTCAATAAACTGATATGGCCCACCTAGTATTTAGCCAGCTCAGTGTAAGGGGAAAATACCACTACTGATGACTTCAGCTGTCTCTGTTCCCTCTATGAAATGATCCTTAGCTGATTCAGGATAAAAGTCATCCTCAGTTCCTTGGAAAGCTACCTTGAAGAGCTGGCAAGTGCTTCGAATAATAGTTTATCTGGCGGGGTGTGTGTGTGTGCGTGTGACTGCCAAGTAGCTCAGTTCTGAAAAAGTTAGTAGAGGATAAATATAGCAGACACAAGAAAAAAGTTCCAAGGACCTCTACACCAGTGGAAACCAATCCCCAGATATTTGGATTTGGGACTTGGTGCTGTAATGAAACAAGGTTTGTAATAAAAGTTTTCTGTATACAACCTTTTGGTTGAGGCAGTGGTCCCCCCCCCCCCCAGCTTTTGGCCAATTATCCATGAGTGGCCTGGATCTGATTAGACATCTGATTTGACACCTGGATTTGATTTGACATCTGATCTCTCCATTTTTACACTGTATTTTATGATTTATTCTGTGTAAACTGTCATTTTAACGTTGCTTTAATTATATTAACTGATGTAAACCACCCTGAGCCCGTTTATGGGAGGGGTGGTATATAAATCAAATAAATAAATAAATAAAGATCCACTTAGGATATAATGTGTTATAAAACTGTCCCCACAATGAGTAGTTCTCCTCTTAAACTTTATTTCACAGCCCATCTAAGAATACTCTCTGCTGCCACCACCAGTTATTTAGCTAGCAGAGCATTTGTCTGGTAACCTGGATCCCAGACTCACTGTTGTAGTCTCTTTTTCCAAAGTAGAAATCCCTTCTGTTCCATCCTGAAAGTAGGGAACCCTTGGAAATCACACTCTTCAGAGCCTGCTCCTTGCTTTCCATCTGTATCTTTGTAAGTGTGAGCCAAGTTGTGGCTTTATATTTGTGCAGAGAATACCAGTTTTGAAGAAAAAGGGAAAAAAATCTTTAGTTACATAAGCAGCTATTGGTTACAAAATGAAAAAGCATAGAGCTGAGCCCTAGGATTCCATTGAAGCTTTTGAGCTGTGCCTGTGTTGTTTTGGAAATCCGGTTCTGTCTTACCAGTAGCTGTTGAAGATCATTGAAATGCTTGATTTATACCTGGGAGAGGCGTTCGGGTGTTATTCTTTCCACAGTGGGAGTCTTCTGTTGCAGTTACTTTCTGTTTGGAGGTCTATGGACACTATGTGTGGAATTACAGAAGAGCCTACTGTTGGTTTTGAATATGTTCTTTGTTTAAACTATGTTTAATTGTTAATCAGCAAATTGTTGGATCTATTGGGTTGTGACCACTAACCCTTCTTTGTATTTCAATGAATATAATATATAGTTTTCAACATAGTTGTGAATTGTAGATGGTCTTCCCCTGGTGGATATTGTTTGAGCCTTTGAAGCTTGGCATTTGGAAGGAATTGAGAAAGAAGGGAGAGCAGAACCTGATGGTTCAACTTTTTGACTACCACCCAGAGTGTCGTAATTTTAACCTCTGAGCATTCACCTAGTGCAAATCCCAACATCCATCTTGCATTGTGGTAAATATTGACCCAGATACCTGGGGTCAGGTGTCATTTTACCACGTATCAAATGGTGATAGTAAGATATGTTAGACTGTCATTCATGTAGTCAACTCATTGCATGCAATAAGAGGTCTTCAGAATTCCATTGGGCACCAATGAAAACATACTGTCAGAAGTTTGGATCTTATCCAGCCTTCAGCTTTTCCTAACATGATAATCCAGGGTGCCTGGTTTTCCTCTTACCTCATGAGGTGTTGGATGAGCTTAAATAGTCAGTAATTTGCAGGTGCTTTCAATATCTTTGAACTAACTAATAAATCATCGTATTTTGTAGGTCCTTTGACATTGTCATTAGCTACACAAAAGTATTGAGAGAACCTAGTTATTAATTGCTGTACCGTCAGTTGATCTTGTTAGGAATCCCATACTTATTGCAGACTACACTGAAGGCCATGAGAATTCAGGGTAGACATAATCTGTGTTAGACAGGAGTGATTGTATATTCATATACAAACCGAAGCAATTGGCAGTTTTTTTGAAGCCCTTCTGAGGCTCTCCAGCAGTAATGGTTTGGTAGTCTTACAAATACCAAGCCGTTCATGGGAGAAAAAAGTAACTTGCATGTAATTGCTTTTTTAAAATAGCTGTTTGTGATTTTCCATGTTGCCCTTCTTCTTCATAGAAGATGCCTTTTTCGTTGTGATACTTCCAGAACACCAAAAAGTAACCAAGCATGAAGGGCATTGAACCCTGCTTTCCAGTAAGTGGCATTAGAAAGAAATCTGCAGCTTTGTGGAGGGAGCTCACACTTCACACTCAATGCAGTGCAACTAAAGGTCCTACTGCTGTGGATTGTGCAGCCACATTCCTAGATGCTGGTCTACACAGAAAGACACCAAAGGGGACATAATTACAGGCAATGAATGCTGCCACCTTATTTCATCATTAGTGGTAATGTGCTGTATTCCATATTTATGAATGTATTTACTAAAAGTGAAGTGGAAATAGGTCAAGATAGATTTGAAAGTTGATAGTTTAACAATATTGTTGGTTTGAACCTCCATCCCCATTTCTTCTAAATAACTCTTCAAGAGATTCTTATTCATAATGAATTTTAATTATGAACTCTTTAAATATTTAATCTGAGTGTTTTAAAATATGCCATAAACTGCTGTGTCTGATTTTACCATATATGAAGCTGAATTCCAAGTTTTCTTATTCAAGGAACAATTGAGTTCTCTATATCTGGTTTGGTGTATTTTGATGAAATTATTGCAATTAATCTGAGAACGTTCCTGACTTTATCCTTCCAATACCATTTAAAGACCCTCTATGTTTTAAGGCAACCCCTCTGCAGTGTTGAATTCAGATCTTTATGCTAAACAGATTTGGAAGAAATTTTATTTTCCTAAACAAGATTTTTCAGACATTGACCAGTGGAATAAAGTTATTGAACAATTAGGTACACCTTCAGCAGACTTTATGAAAAAACTACAGCCTACTGTACGCAACTATGTAGAAAACAGGCCAAAATATCCAGGTATCAAATTTGAAGAGCTCTTCCCAGACTGGATATTTCCTTCAGAATCTGACCGTGACAAACTAAAAAGTAAGAATTCATTTGTATATGAGTGTTTTAAATGTGTGCAGTATGAAAATATATTTGCCAGTTTTTCATAGTTGTTAGGCTAGAGGCTTTTTCTACTTCAGGTTGCAACACGAAGTTGAGGTTATCATGTTAGTGACTGGGAATTGCTCACTCACATAGGGACAAGCTTTTGTGGTTTCCCTGTTGCATCTGTGGCTGCTCATACATCACAACAGCAATAGGGCTTCCAGATGGCAGGTTTCCTCACAGTTTCCCTGTCCAGTTCCCCAGCAGTGGGGGAAGATTAATTGATTGTTGATTTTAATCTGTATTTTTGTATGTTTTAACCTGTTGTAAATCACCCAGAGCTCTGTGTACTCAAGGATGGGGCGATTCAGAAATTTAATTAATAATAATAAGATATGCCTTTCACCTGAATTGATATTCATATTGAATTGATATCCAACTACTAATTTTTTTTTAAAAAAAACTTCATGGTTGGGGGGAGAAAAAGGCTGCTGCAGGGCAAAAAAACCCCAGGAGGTACACAAATGCATCACAGTGCTGAGGGGAAGCAGGGCAAATAATCTGTGTGGAAATGGCTTTAGGGCTTTTCAGAGGTAGGATTTTATGCTTTTGCTTTCAATCTATGGTGGTGGAGGTAGTCATTGAATAATGGTACTTTTCTTTTAAAAAGTAGTTAAATAAATGGTTTGTACTGGTGAGGTAATATGAATCTGAAGATCTTAGATTTCAGAATCTAACTAGTTAATAATCTTGATTATGATATAATTGTTAAGTTAAAAACAAACCAATCACCTATACTTCTGTGGAAGGCCTTAGGTCTTTCTGGTTTGATACTATATCTTGTTTTGTATGACATTTTACTATTTGAACATAACATTAGGAAAATGCTATATTGTTACATTGCACTTGTTCCTTATATTAGATTTGTGATTATTTGATATAATATTTACAGGATCTTATATTTTCCCTCTTAACAGCTTAGATTTCTTAATTATACCATGTGGGCTTCATTAATACAGGTTTTGTACCTTGTGTATTTCAAGACTTTAGCTGCCATCATATCTTTCTCCACTTTGTTTTCTAGCAAGTCACGCTAGAGATTTGCTATCAAAAATGCTAGTGGTAGATCCAGACAAACGAATATCAGTAGATGAAGCTCTGCGACATCCATATATCACAGTTTGGTATGATCCTGCTGACGAAGCAGTAAGTTTGATGAGAAATATTGCTTGTTTTGATGGGAAAATAAAAGCATATTTTATGTATTTAAAATTAACAGTCTCAAGGTACCTTATGAAACCAGGTGTCTAAAAGTATACACTAAAAAACAAAAAAAATTAACATTATAAATAACATTCAAATAGCGTAAGTTCAAACAGCTCCATAAATCTTCAGAAAGCCTCATCAAACTTTTGGCATGCTAAAACATAAATTGTGCACTCTTCCTTCGAAAAAACTCCAGAGGGGTAGCCCTGTTAGTCTATTACAGCAAAATGAAACAGAAATCTAGTGGCATGTTAAAGAATAACAACACTTATTCCAGCATGAACTCTTGTGAGTCAGAGCTCACTTGTTCAAATGCAGTAGAAAGAAAATAATTTTCCTCGTAATTTTATTGGAAAATACAGAAGGGGAGGGGTTGAGCAAAGAGACACCTGTTATGAGGTATGATTCTCTGTGTCAGGGGCATGGTTATGATGATGCCTTCCTCGTTACATTTTGCAAACTATTCCATAAAACAGGGCAGTGACAGAAGAATCCTGTGATTAGCTTTGGCAGATTTTACAGTTCTAATGGTGAGAACTGATGACCAGAGGGCTGCTGATACATGGCTTCATACAGAGAGACAGTTGTTGAGTGGTAGGCAACAGGATACTGACTTTGTAAGTAAGAACCAGCACCTTGGTGAGAGTCCCAAAAGCAATTAGCCATCAATTATTTTGATCAGTAGCACAAGTCAACATAGCTACTTGGAATTTTTCCTCTTGTATTGGCAAATTTATGCATATATGCTAAAGTACTTGCAGTACAGTCTACTACAGAGTTTGGATAAATCTTTGAAAGTTAATTTATCTTCTTCGTGGTCTCTGTGCTTCACACCAATGGGATCTAGTGTGCCTGCGCTGGATCTGCCGGTGCCTAGCAAGCTCTCTTAGAAGGATTTTCGTGCCTGGCCCAACTGAGCATGCCCAGGAGCCCCAGTGAGCATGCTCAGAAGGGCAGGCACGGACATCCCGCCAGTTCTTTCCTTTCCGCCGCGCTGAGCAGACCTGTCTTCGAGAGGTCTGGCCGGATCGCTGCCTTTTTGATCACTTTTAGTGACTAGCTCTCCGTTTTCGCCTTAGTTTTTTTTTCAGTTTCGTTTCCTTTTTCTGTTTTCCAAAAAAAAAGGAGTCTTTTTGTTTTTCGTCGTCTGAGGTAAAATTACCTCAGGCCTTCGGGCCCCACCCCTCCTTGTCGTTAGCTTTTTCTCCGCAGTCTGTGGAGAAGAAGAAGACGAAAAAGTCGAAAAAGTGGGGATTTTTCAACCGTTGTCGTTCCTGTGGAAGTAAACTGGCTCCCCCAGACGGCCATAAGTACTGTATCTTTTGCCTTGGGGAAACCCACAAGACAGACTCTTGTGAACATTGTGCGCAGTTTTCCAACCAGACTCGGAAAAACAGAGCGGCACGTTTAAGAGTTTTTCTCCTGGAGAAGGCGCTTCAACCGATGGCTGACCCGCCAGCTCTTTCTTCCGTCGCCATGTCTTCCGCTGCCA